AATTTTTTTTGAAACTGAAACAGCAGAAATGTTGTCAGAGATGATATAGAAGAATAGCCCTTATGAACATTTCGATGTACTATCAACAAGAGACGATATCTGATGATTTTAGTTGCGCTTGGGTCAGCATGACCCACTCCGGTTCTATAGGGTTAAGTAAGCTTTTTACTCGTCTCAAATCGTCAAACTTCAGCAACGGATTCTGCACACACAAGCGGTTTGCAGTCCACCGTACAGAGTATACAAATTCAGTGACTGTAGAATCCCAAAAAAAACTGCTTCTGCGTGCGCGAATATTTCAGTAAATGGATATGGAACTGATACCGGGTTTTTTTTCTGTAAAACCAATAATAACTCGACTTACCGGTTGTGTTAATAATTGCCGTATTGGCAGCTGCTACCGTCGAACTAGCAGCGGTAGTTCCCGTCGCAAGAAGTTTTATTCCTTTTGCTCCGTTTGCCAGGTTGTTCAAGCCCATCGTAGATACGGTTATGACCAGACTCACAGTTTTCTGTGTAATGTAATCATTCCAGCTAAAATTGCGTGTGGTGTAAACTCGATGAGCCGTGGTCAGATCAGACATGGCCTCCGTTACTAGTGACATTCCCAGGCTGGCTCCGAAACCTGTCGTGATGAGGAGCCCGCCCGCCACCGCCTGCACTGACGCCAGTCCGCAGACGCTGAACAAACTGATCCACGGGATAAACTCCTTCTCGTTAAAAGACACCAGCAGAAGAATGCCCCGCGCACTCAGTTCGCGGATTTCGTGTAGCGGCACGTGGCTGTGTGTGAACATGTCCGGGAGTTCTTGCACTTTTGTCTGGTTCATCTGCTCCTGGTCAATCTTAGCGTCTTTCAGTAGCTTATTCGCATCATCCCAGCTCAGATTGTACAGCTGCATCGTGAATCTGATGTTGTGCTTTCGAAGAACCTTGATCACATCCTTAGCGTTATCGGACGACATTTCCGATAAAATAAGATTCGTCTTGTAATTGGCGATTTCTTTGTTCCATGCGGCTTTCACCCCGTTTTTAAACGATTCGCCATCCTTCTTCGATTTCTGGCCATCTGCCTTCGGCTTTGCTTTAAACCACGTAGAGTTAAGGTGATATTTAGTTGCGGTGCCGCTGGATGATAATCTTTACCCAACGCTTCGATCGAATTATGCACACTGGCGGCACGAGACAACCCAGTGACTTTAATGGAGATGCAGCTGTTACCTTTAAACTGCTCGATGATGGCCAGTTTCTCTTCCTCCTCCATTTTCGATGGCAGAACTTTGCTAATCAACTGCTGCTCGTTAGTATTGTCATAGGTAGTGCTACCTATATCCTATAATCTACAATATGGGGAAACATGGGTGTCCCTAAATAACATCTTTTATTCATAAAAGGGGATAAATGGGAGAAAATACATAAAAATGGATAAATCAAGATCAGAGACACTGATGATCCAGCCTAAAATCCATTAAGAGGAGCATTTCCATAGCTAATCGCCATCATGGGCGGCTAGAGTATACACCGTGACAGTATCGTTAGTTGCTACAAGAACGATCGTATCGTGGTCAAATGTCTTCGATTTCTTTAATAGATTCTCGGCGGCGTCTATCAAGGTTTGCTGATGACCAGAAATCTCCAAATCAAAACTGCTAACACCTAAATCCTTGATATCGTTGAACTGAAATGGCAGCTTTCCTCCTTTATCGAAATCGCGGTGCATCTTGAGAACTTCTACGCTAACTTCGGGAACCTTCTTGAATAGTTTAAAATTTGGTTCGTCGAGAAGCTTTACGATATCGGCAGATTCACAGCTCAAATGCACTTTCACAGCCACAGCCATCATCCCAGGAAGAGTTTCAAGCGCCTGATCCTTCTCGACCCTATCATGGTGCACCGTTTGATCGTGAAACGTCAAACTGAACTTTTCAAACGGCTTCAGCTTTTCATCTAGACATCGGGTCTTCGAATTCTTCAGTAGAAGGCCATTCGGCAGACGGATACGCGTAGTGCGCCTGTCTGATTTCGTCTGATATTCCAGGTTGACTTCTCGTAGTGACCTTTCCGTTGCGTCAATATTGGATTAAATGGTGTTGATGAAATAGCCCAGGAGATTCGCCTTTTGTATGAGCTGCTGGAAAAGCGGTGTATCGGAAGCTGAACCCGGAGAGAATGGCTTTTGAGACAAAGTTTGCATCGTGTTAATGACGGACATCTCTTTATACAGTAGACTGAGAACGCTGTTAAATTCCTCCACCGCTTTTCGTTTATAGTCCGCTGAATCACCGGCGTTTAGCGATGCTGCGGCAAGGCCCATTTGCGCACCGACAGCAAACGGTGGATCTATTTGTACGGCTAGTTTGTAGTATTCCGTAGCCGCTGCGTGCCGTTCATTGACATATTCAAAATTTCCTAAAAATATGAACTGAATAAGTGCATGATTGCATCTTCAACCTAATTAATTATAATTAAGCCATGTGGTTGCAGTTAATTCACTGTTTCTAAGATACATTGTCCAGCCTTTTGCTTTCGAAACTATGGGATGCTGTGGACCAAGTACCAGTGGTTTTATTTCGGATTTGGCCAAACTTATTCGGGAGCAGACTGGAGAAAGCCGTGCGAAACAGTTTTTGTTGCAGCGTTTCAGTTTAGAAATACAACGGGGCAATGCCGCCTGTGTTCTTGGTTGAGTGCAGTCGCAATCTTGATGAACTGTTTTTGGTTTTCTAGAAGTTCTTGTTATAATAGAAAGGATGCGCACAGTCAAAACGCGGACTTACATCGAGCATCTGCGACTTACATCGAAGCGAGAAATAGGCGTACCAAGTCTTAATTGGCTGGGCTTCGTTGTAAGTCGATTTTCGCTCGATGTCTGTCGGTAGGCGTCGACGAAAACCGTTACCAACATGGGCGTACCTTGTAACGGGTCTAAACGGGTCTAAGCGACGCCCAGCGACTTACAAAGTTCGTGTTTCTGCGATCTTGATTGGCGGGTCTGCATTTTGAGTTAGATCGAGGCTGCCCACCGCCAATAGCAAAATTCCAAACCACGTGATCGTTTCTCTATACTTTGAGCTTACGGCGACGGTTAAACGATAAAATGATAGGGCTTCATATTTTTTTGAGTTTTTGGTTCTTGCCTTCTTGTTTATTTTTGAAATTAGAATTGTAAAAACTGATAATTTGTATGGCATTATTGATGCATCTATAGTGCAGGGATGCCTGCGGTTTGGGAATCCAGACTGGACTGCGCAATATCAGTGTTGGGCCAGGTGCGCCCCTGTTTACTGATTACTTGTTGTCTGATAATCGATCAATTTGTTTCTGATCCCATTACAGCTGACTAGCGTATTACAAATTGATTTCGACTTGCCAAAGGTTCATAAATTCTTGTGGCTGTCTCTAACAATTTGTGGTATACTTGTCATGTAGAACTGCCGTCGTCTCGCAGGGAACCCTGCGCGCTGGCTACCAGCTGCTGGTGCTGTTTACAGTACACCCCGTTATGAGCTTGATTTCTTAATCTAATTAAATACCGGACTTCGACCAATACTGCTGGACAGCCTTCCATCGTAAGTCAGAAATTATTTTTTGATACCATGTTAATTTAGCGATGTATGAGTTGAATGATTTGTTGGTCGCATAAATTTAATTCTGTTTTTCGTCTGTATTTTACGAAAGAAGATTGTATACTTGCTTAACCATGTGGCGGGTTCCCGCTTTGGTCTGGCTACCCAGACGTTTTGTTAACCGCAGTCTTTTTATTCGTTTTTAACTGAAAAGAATATTGCGCAGCGATACTCAAGTGCATATTGTTTTGATACTTGATACTTTTCAGTGATATTGTTTTGATACTTTTCAACAGGTTATATTTTTAGAAATTCAAATGTGGTGATACAATTTAGAAGCATACTGTCTGCGCGCATAATGTCAGTCTGTATGTCATGACATTTGTGCGCATGCGGTCGAGTTTAGCCCTTACATACATACATGCTAGACGTGTAAACGGGCGCGGTTTTGCGTTCGATGTCTGTATGTCAAGGGTTAAAAACGTTGTAAGTAAGTCCGCGTTTGAACTTTGCGCATTTGCTGGAATGATGTCCTAAGTAATATACAGTGGACTGCGAAAAGGTGTTACAATGCGCGCAACCAGGCACTTTTCTGTACTCAAACAGCCAAATTCGTGATTGGCCATCTGCCTGCTAGGATTAACACTTGCACCTTGCGCATTTCCCAACGAAAACCATCGACCGATATCTCAAACGAAAGAGAAACAAATTTCAAGAATTTTGATACCAAGCAAGTTGTTTTTTATGGGATCTAAGGGAGAATCGACGCACCTAAAGTTTCTCGTAGACATAGCATAGGATTTGAATCCACGGTTTTGATTCAGTTTTCACACAGAAATCGTATGCTTTGTCTACGACAAACTAAAATAGCTCGATTTTCTCTTACGTCTCATAAAGGATCACCTGTTTGGTACCAAAATTCTTGAAATTTTTTGCTCTTTCGTTTGAGATATCGCTTGATGGTTTTCGTTGGGAAATGCGCAACGTGCAAGTGTTCAAATTTTTGTGCGTTTCCTGTTTATTGGTCATTTGGTCTTGGCCATTTATATAGATTGGTCATTCGGTCACGGACCGAATGTTACAGGTTTTCGCAGTCCACTGCATATATATAGTTTTAATTTTCTTATTATTGATTTTTGTACTGCCAAAATATCATAGTTTCTAAGCAGCCAAAGCAGACTGGTAATCTTACCCAATTGCACAAAGTAGAAGGCGTTGCTGGCGGCCTTAATAAGTTCTTGATTACTTTCCGCTTTCTCCAGTTCTGCCTTAAAAATCTGGAATTCTGCCTGTGCCTTCTTGCTATCACATTTTTCGCGGTCGACCATAAGAAGAAATTTCGCCCACTGCTCTTCCACGGACAAAAGCACAATTGTTTCGAATAGCGAAGGAGCGCTGCCACTTCCAGCACCGAACCACGACTGTGCTACATCCTTTACTCCGTCCCCCATGTTTTTCCAGAAACTGCGTTGACCTTGCAGCTGTTGGCGAACGCTATTATAATATTCGCAGAATTCTTCAAAAAGCTTCCCTTTCATCTGAATGTACGGCAGTTCACGGTCACGAAAATCCTCCAGCAAGCGTTTTTCTTCGAGGTCGCGCTGGTGCCGGTAATCGGAGTGTGGGTCGGCGATGATAATCAGTTGCCCAGTGCCTTTGTTGCCTTGTCGCGACGTTCGCCCGAATGCCTGCTCTTCTGTTCGTTGGCTGTGTGGCAGGAATGTGAGGCACACGTGCAGTCCGCCGTATTCTTCGATTTCCGTGGTCTTCAAATCGGTACCGCGACCCGCGAGATTTGTCGCCACAACGACGTCGCCAGGGTGCAGGCGTTCGATTTGCTTTTCTTGTCCTTCTTGGTTTTTTACATACAGCTTGACTTTGACCTAAAAATTACCAGAATAATAACAGATTATCAGCTTGACTTTGTCTTTTGACCTAAGAATTCGCTGATTAGCAGACTCAGAGTGCAATCAGAGAAATGTACCCACCTTAAAGCCGGAAAAAGCTGAAGCAATTAGATGCGCCGTTTTGATGGTTTCGCAGATCACCAGAGCCGCCCGCTTCTTCGACGTTTCCGCCATCGTCGTAATGACGATCTCTTTTAGCCACTGCTCGTCGGTTTCCACGCAGATATCTGGAAACTGGATATAGCGTTTAAAGTGGGTCTCTGGCAAAACGAGCAGCTTTGCATGGTAAATGTTGTACATAACCTCCCGTTCGAAGCTGGATCCCAATGTTCCGGTAAAGCCGATAATGTTGGTGCCGTACTTGCTGAACATGGAATAATTCGACAAGAAGTTAGTCGTCACAGTTTCTGAATGGATCTTCAACGAATGCTTCAGCTGCAAGAACTGATGGAGCCCGTTGTTCCAATTGGTACTGGACTGCACCACGCCGGTAGTCAGGTAGTCCACTGGCTTAATCTGCCCCTCATCGACAATGTAATGGACGTTTTCCTGGTAATGGACGGCGGTTAGTGCGCTCTCCACCCACAGCGGAATTTGGTTCCGTGTGAAGTCTTGGAGGTTGACAGGGAATTGCAGACCGAGAGTCTCAGATTCCAGTATGGATTGAGCGTGCGCAAACATGTGGTGTTTGACGAACGTCTCGAGATCGTCCACGACGAAGATTCTGGCCTTGAGCAAATCATCATTCGATGCTTCCGAAATAAACTTGACCAGATTACGAATTACGAGCAGTTCGTCTTCCGCGTTTGTAAACTGGTACGATAAGGTGCTAACGGATTCACCTCTTGTGATTAGTCCTTCAACGTAGAACTGTCGTTCGAGGAGGGAAAACAGATGGGACTGTATATGTAACAGACGATCCCAGATGAGACAGTACAAAACATGCAGAGTATCCATTTCCGGCAAGGTCGTTGACAGACGAGCTAGTTTCGCACTATCGTCGATTAAAGCAGAGTCCACTTCGTCGACGATAGCGAAGTCCGTGCTGCGGCCGCCCAGTGTACCCAATCCACTGTACTTATCCCGCAGATAATCGAACTGGAACTGTGCACATTCGCCGTACACAATCCGCTGATCGTAGCACGACTTCTTCTTGGCAACGTACACGCCTTTATCGCCGTTGTGTCCGCACGTCAGCCCGAACATTTGGTAGAACGGCGCCCATTCCTGCGCGTCGCGTTCCGCCAACACCGGACTGCTGGTGTAAATGTCCACGGTGTGACCTTCCAGCGCCTTGACCGCGGCTAATACCGCAACGATTGCGGATTTACCGGATCCGGTGGCGACTTGCTGTAGCTGACCTTTCGTTGTTGTGTCCTTTTCCAGTGCGCACAAAGCTTCGAGGCAACTCAAAATCTGCACTTTTGTCAGAACAAAATTTTTAAATATTTGCAGGGCTACTCGCGCGATGGCCAAGGCCTCCGTTACGAATTCCACGGGTCGATATTCAGTTTTTCGGACAACAGCTTGCCGCGCCCAGTTGGCAATATCCCTAGCGGACCATGTGCTAACCACAGTATCTGATTTGTAAAACCGACTACGCAGGTCAGCGCTGAAGATGCTGGATATGTGCAGCTGCAGAATTTCTGATTCGTTACTGCCTTTCCCGAAGCGCTCGGGTGGATAGCTCCATTTGTACGGCACCCGCGTGCTATTGTGAAGGAATTCGTTGACAATGTGCGCTGCTTGTTTCACACCGTGCTTACCCTCGAAGGCCTTCTCGTGGGGGAATTTGTTGATTGCTTCTACGATTTCTGATTCGTTGATTGCTGCTACGATTTCTGATTCGAAATGGACAAGGGAAACTGTCTGCCGAAGAGCGGCGAACGACGCGCCCTCTAATTTATACTGGTGCGCTTGGCCAACGGCGTGCTCAAATGATCTCAGTGTAGCAGAAGCAGCCGAACATACAGTAAGGAGTTGTTGCAGATCGCTAAGCATCACTCCGTTTCGGCAAAGCTTTTTGATATTGCGTTCCATTCTCTGTCGTTGAGCGACAGTAACCGGAATACTTTGCATGAGCAGCTCGGTTCCTAGTTGTACAGCAATTTCTTGTAAAGATGTTGTCCCTGGAGCGTGTTGCAGAAAGCAATATTTTTTTCTGCCAGTTTCTGAATGGCTACTCCTTCAAAGCAATAAAAAAAAGCTGAGAACTCTTGCACAGAATTAATTTTACAGCAAGTTGTGCAGATTACTGCTGCCACGTCAATTCCGAATGTGGATATCAGTCGTTGTGTCAGTATGCCAAGAATGTGTGTGGACTGAGTGAATGTGACCTTTGTCGAGAAGATCTGTAAAATGGCTCGTTCTCTAACCTGTCGTTCGAAGTCGCCACTGGATATCCGTGAGCATTCTTTAAGGCCTGACGCGTCCAGTATCGTTAAAGCAGACAACGTTTTCTGCAGTGCTGATCTGCCGCAGTCGCGGCTCACCAATTTCAGACGATCGAAAAACTCCTCCCGTTCTTCGTCATTAGGAAACTTGTCTGCAATTATCTTCACGTAATTGTTTAGGTCAACCGCTGAGTCAAAGGAATCCGCAAAGTTCACCAGGAATTCGGATATGAGCATTAGTTGCCGCCATTGCGCTCGATGCAGTCGAACCGGCTTGACGCAGTCAAAATCCCAGTATGTAAGGCTTACGAGAAATTTGGCGAAATCTTCATTGAATTTTGTATCGAACGCCAGTTGTTGCGCGACTTCGCCATCAGTACAATCGGCAAAGATTTTCTGAAACGCTTGGGTGATGACCGAATCAAAAAATGGTCGGAGATCTGCAGCCACCGTGGAGAACCCTACAACGGCTTCAGAGTCTCCGACCAGTGCCACAGAAAAGATAATGTTGAGTGCCAGTACACACTGCCTTCGTACGAAACACGATGAATGATGCAGCATAGTTATTAAAGAATCCAAGACGTTCGGCTGAACCAGCGCTCTCAAATTGCTACGACCCGCCAGTTTCATCAGCGCAACAAGACACTGCATGATGAGCCGTATTTTGTCCATCGGGATTGATTCACTAAATAAAGAGCTAGAAAAAACTAGAGCGAATTCTTCCGGACTAAGACTTGCAGGGTGTTCATGCAAGGAGATTACGGTTTCCAACGCTTGCAGTAGTTTATCGCTGGCAGTCTCTCCCTGGGTGCGGATTTCATTACAGAAAATTTTCATGATCCGCGATCGCAGTTGAAGGTTGTTAGTAACCGCCGTCAAAATCTGAGGTGAAGAAATCTTGCCTGCTAGATACTCTGCAAGAATATCAAAACGGGAGAAATTGTTTTCCAGCAATGCCGCTAACGTTCGCTCATCCAGATCAAATTGACTACTTTCATTCAGCACCATAGTCAGAGAGTCTGCCGTGGCATCCGCATTTAACAGCTTGCTGGAATTCTTGTCGCTATTGACTCCATTCATATAGATCAGAGACGCGCTTTCACTTCGCTGATCGGTTGAAATATACGCTTTGAGATTTTCCGTAGGCTTAACTCCATTTTTCAGATCCGCCACTATCACGTTTTCGCATAAGCTAGAAACTTCCGGATTATTTGCGCTGAGCTTGGCGAACCCAATGGTTTCTAGAGTTTTTTCCGGTAATCGAGAAAACCGCGGATAGCTCTGTACGATCTTGAGTGCTGCGAAAACAATTTTCGGGTCGGTATCGCTTTCGAAGATTTTCTGCAGTCGGACTTGACAATGATGCGATTCAAAGAATTCATAGTCATCCAGCTTGCACAACACGGAAAGATCGATCAGCAGTTCCACGTTGGTCTTCTTCCCAGATGCAGTAGATTCAGACCGGCTTGTACCCAAGCCGGTAATATTTGATGCATCGTTGTTAAAAACTCTGAGACCGTTTCTCTGACGGAACCGGTGGACGAAGCAGATCGTTGAAATTCCAGCAACAGTCTGAAATCGCTGTCGTCATACAGCGCTGCTTTTGCCGGAGATGTGTGCCGGCTCAGAGCAATGAAACCGTTCAGCGCCGTTTCAATCATCTGGTCGTCACCCGAACTCATCGCTTCTACGAAGACGGTCTTCAGCCGCTGTGGATCTATCCACGCCGCAGAAACTGAGTTTGCCTGACTCGCCAGGGCCAAAAGTATGCTAAGTCTTTGACGATAGTCACCGCCGCTTTCTATTTTCCAGCCTTCGCATAGTTTAGCGGTAACTTCAGCCGTATTGAGAACCTCGATGCTGTTCATCAGTTTGGTGATAATGTTGAACTTTGCACAATTTTCAGGATTTTCGAACAGATTTGGAAAGGTGCCCGAGCAAAAATCCGTCACTATCTTCTGTGTGAAGGCTTTCGGTATCGGCTGGTTGTTCTGGACGATTGCGCAAGCCAAACGAAGTAGAGTAACCTGCAGTTGTGGTTTTGCCGATTTGTCGTCAAATGTCCGGTCAATAATTTCCGGAGGCAGAATTTGCCCGTTTTCGCACACCAGCAGCAAACATTCCAGGATAATCTCCAAATTAATCTTTTCTGTAACACACAGCTCGAAGAGTCTCTTGTTCAGCATGGACATAATAAATCCGGCCTGGAAATAACGTTTTAAGTTCTCAAATACGCGTTTCTTTGCTCGTTCACCCAGCCTCTCGCAAAATTTGACGGTCTCCGAAGAACTGTACGCTGCCAACAAACGCGCAGACAGAAACTCCACATCAAACTTATGGAATATGTGCTCCTGAACATCTTGCACACAGATTGCAGCAAAGGTCAACGAGAAACACAATTGTTCATGACATGGTTCAGTTTTAAAGCGTTGCTGCACAGTGAGCAGAACTGCCGGGTTTATGCCTTGGTGGAATCTCTGCATAGCCACGACTAAGATGCTGGCACAAGTTTCAAAATGCTGATTCCCATTTAAGATTAAGTTTTCCATCGCATCCAAGCAGTACAACCGGTTCAAAGGTGTACATGAGAGCCAAATCAGTCAGTTCGCTCGCGGTCAATGTCTGTTTTCTTTCGCTGTACGTCAAATGCTCCAGTAAAAGACAGTAAGCGGCCGTGCAGTTGATTCGAATGTCAGCGACCGCGCTTTTCGTAAGCGGAAGCAGCAACCACAAATACTTCTCGGTCATGTTGGGGTAACGGTTCACCACGGCATGGAAAACGCATTCCGCACAGCGAATCTGCGTGTTTTTATCAGGGCTCAAGCCGATTGCTGCCGTTATTTCATCGAGGGTGGTGGCGTACTGCAGAGGTTCCTTGGAGGTAAAAATTAACTGGAGCAGCATCTGCGCAATCACCGCCGAAACGTATTTGAAGCCCATGGGCTTTGCCATCTGATCAGAATCCAACCAGATCACACCGTCTGCATCGACACCGTCCTTTATCCTCAGACGTGAGGCCAGCCGCTCCACTCCGGGTATGTGACTCACTTTCTTCTGTATTGCCACGTTTCCTAGGACGATTATGATATGGGCTGCCAGGCGCTGGTCTGTGTCCGGGTCCAGTGCAGGCTGCACCAGAATCGAGAGTATGTCCAGTAAACTGATAGTCGAAGGTCCAGAGTCAAATTTCGGATGGCTCACTGTTTTAAGGATAATCCCAATGATGCTCTTTTTGTACAGTTTTTGGTGCGGTTCGGAATCCTTATCACCCCAGCTAGACAAAATAACGATTATATAATAATTATACACTCTGGTGCTCAAAGCACGTTTCTGCCTAACCAGAGTACCTTATCTGTTTCGACTGTCCGTAGTGTTAAATATTCTACCTAAGTACTGCACTTGGGCGGAAATTGAAACAAGTTCTCGCTACCCATAAAGTAGTTTACGACCGAATAAGAGAGCCAGTTTTGCTAAATCTTAAGGAAAGCGACCAGTTATGTGATACGGAGACGTTCGCTTTCGCACATTTTAGGGAACGGTTTCACATTATTTTATTACAGTTTCAAGCTAAGAAATTTTTGTAAATTGGGGTTAAAACCGTTTGTACACGCTTTAACGGTTGGGGGGCTTATTTTATGGCAATCAAAAGTGTGTACGCAAAAAGCTGTTGCAGAACTCATTTGGGCCGATTTTGCACTTAGGATTGATACGGTAATCGTTTTTAATTCAAGCCTAGCTTTTAGCCTGATCTCTAATATTTATGTCTTCAAAAATTCATTTAAATTTTGAGAAATTGCAAGAAAAATACTTCGGTGCACAACCAAACTTCATATCGATCATACGTGCAAAACTGAAAATTTGTAGAAGGTTGGTACGTACTTACGGTCATACTGTTTCCGGTACGGCTACTTGCGCTCGAACATTTTAAAATCACGTTTTCAATTCATTCAATAGCTCCGACCGGATTTTGCGCGCACAAACGGCACAGAGTCACGCAATTTTATAGAAATCTTTCGGCTTCGGATGCCACAAAACAATGCCACAAAAAATAATTGTCGATAGTTCGTGGAAGCGAATGTCCCCATGCCTTACTCACTGAAATCTTGGGCTGATCACGTTTTGGAATACTCATTACACTGGTTATCATAGTACCGAGCATACCTAGTACCAACATACAATACATGATACTCGACCATAGTGCAACGTACATATCATATAAGGGGAATTCAACTGCTGAGCCCAGCACTCCCTGTACCTGCTGCCTTCACCCGACTGGAGTTTTACGTTGTGGCTTAACATGGTGCTTATGTACCGCGCTTGATTTAACCGTATGTAATGCCGTAACGTAAAACTCCAGGCGGGTGACGGCATCAAGTACAGGGAGTGCTTGCCTCCGCAGTTAAATTCCCCCTATCATAGTGGAGAGTCACTGGAGACGGCAGACTCTGGAGAAATTCTCCTTTGGTGATTCAATAAGTGTGTCTCACCTGGCATACACGTGGCTGGATTCTTGGAAGTTGGTCAACCGGGCCTCAAACCCCTCTTTGAGGGCTCGGGGAAGCTCTTCAGGATCATGCGCCAGGAAGTCATCTAGTATGGCAGCCACTTGCGAAGCTGTATCTAAACTGTAGTAACTTTTTTCGGCGCCGATTAATATGGCAATCAGCGTGGAGGAAAAAGAAACGCGTTCCTCTAGGTGCAACGCTCGAACAGGATTGGCAACTTGTTCCCAGATATACTCAGTGCTGTCTCGGGCCATTTCATCCTGTTCTCCTTTAGTATGCTGCAGTATCTCCAGGGCGGCGGCGAAACTGTCTTGCAAGTTGCTGTCGTCTTTCTTCAGAATGATCCACAAAATTTTCTTCATATCGCGTGTGCATTCGCTGCTTTTCTGAAATTCACGCAAGATTTTCGTGACGTTTTCCGGCAGTTTCGCATTGCTGGATTCAGCACACAGCTGAAACATTTTCAGGAACTTCAACCGGCAGCCATCGTAACTGCTATCCAAGGAGGCGTCAAACGTTGCTTTCGCCAAGTCCAGCTGTGTGGCCACGTCGACGACCTGATTTTTGGCGATGATTGAGAAGGTCAGCGCGATATTGGCAAAGGTCGTCATGCGGTCCTCCCTTAAATTCATCACGTAACCGTGACAGAATTTATCCTTCAGATAAGCGATGTCGTCCTGACATACGGGTATATTCGCCTGCGCTCGGTCCAGAAGATTATGGATTTCTTGCGCGGTGGTGCGGAAGTACGAGCGGACACTCCTGCCATTGCTACTCAGTGCCAGATTGAGTTCCATCTTATGCGCAGCTCCACGACTGCTAAGGCGATTGCTGCTTAACGCTTTAGCCAAATCAATCCGCTGAATTTCCGTTTTCTCGGTCATATTTTCCTTATACACCGTGGTGACCGTTTGTTGGGTCTTAACAGCGTCAGCTTTCACTGCTCTTTTTCTCGAATTCACGCATCGGCTAAGCATTTCCTGCCCATTGGCAAATAGGCGACCGCTTGACAAGCTGCTATTTTCACTGGCTATGTCCGCTAGTGCCCCTGCAGGCGGCTTCTCGCTATCCGCCGACAACGCCATTGCCTGCAGCGTTTCTTGCAGCTGGGATTTTGTATCAGCATTTACAGCTGAAATGTATTTAAAAGCAAATTGGACCAGGCGATTTCAGTCTGCTTCTTCACCAGCATAACATACACTGGTCTTCAGGATGATGCACTGCACCAGCTGCGAAACGGTATCCCCAGTGTGCAAAGGTAGATCGCGAAGGGCATCCGTGACATCCGCATCCAGGGTGATAGTACAAGCTGCTATAATTTCGTCCGCACTGATACTCGATGGATCGTGTTTCGAGCAGTATTTCAGACACTGTGCGATCTGTTGGTTAAGGAAAGATTCGCGGGAAATTTCCGGATTCTTATCCGGCATCGAGCGTAAGTTGGAAAGTAAATACTTCACCATCGACGGCGGGAGACCGTGCCGTCTGGCCAGGTACTTTAGGCAAGAAGCTATAGAAACACTAGTTTCTCCTACCGGAAAGTGCTCCATTAGGTTTGCAGTCTTTTCCCATTTTTTCCATTCTTCGTGGATCTCTGAATGCACAATCGGTGAATCGGGGTCGTGAACACATTCCATGAAAAGAGCTTTCATTGTTGCCGCGCAGGCGGAGAGCTGGTTCCCTGCACAGAAATTCAACCACTGCATTGTATCACGGTAAACGGGTAAAGTGTCTACGTAGTAGCCTATTTAAGAGATTTGTTCTATACTAAACCCGCTTCGAACTTTGTTAGCGCGAGGTCAATGTGTCACTATGACTATAGCATATTACTCAGTAGAGAAAGACAGAGTTATCCAGTTTTTCTAGTTATTTATGACCTTAAGTGATAAGAAGCCCCTGCGGCACGTTATGCATGGCTTTCTGACTGATTTCCGTTTGTGAAATGCAACCCTGTATCCGTGCAGCCAACGGAGCCGACTGGGAAAGGCCAAATTTATCTATAAGCTATTGTGCACTGGCGCATAAAAGTTAAAGCAATACAATCTTCTTATCGTTCTATCGGGCGCCACTGAAATAAACTGCGCCCTTTTCCGCTTGCGCTTGCTAATTTCGCGCCAATAACCGATACACCTACAGCAGTATAGTACCACCGTTTTCTCATTCTTTTCTCAAAAAACAGTTTTTCCCACGGCGGTAATGCTCAACCGGTCATCCACAGACAGGCGGTTGCGACTAAACCGGCTTATAGCTAGCAGCTGGGACGGCGCAAAATATAATAAATGTACACTTCCCCATCAAACTTGTGACAGAAAATCACATTGAGTACGGTCAATTATATGGTATACCAAAAACATTTATTGTTATGGCGCATGATTGTTGCATACTCATTACTGTACGCTACCATCTCACATCTCAACAAGCTATTTATCACGAGTATCTACTAGTTTATTCAGATTGCAGGATTTTGCGGAGAGTGGCACATACTGCGCCAGCGTGCTTTAGTGGGTTGGGGCATTGCCAAAGACTGACTCTGTCTGTCTGCACTAATGTAGAGCGGCAATGGTTGGAGTGAAAAAAATCGTTATTATGTACCTCATATATACCGTCTTCCTGCGCTATAATTTTATCAGCGACTAATATTATGAGTATTATCATGCTACATGTGCTGTACGAAGCCATCTAAATTTACTGTTTACTGCGCTTATTTCTTACCATTCAAATCCGTTTTAATAATTGGAACCATGGCGATTGTCCTGACTGGCGGAAACAGTGGAGTGGGGGTTCACTGGTTAGTGGTTACTGATGGCGTGTCATTCCGATGTCGCACTTGCTTTCTGCCGTGGCACTAAGGCACACCGATGCCACAATTCTGAAAATATTTAAATTCTGTTAATTAGTATGCCGCAGGGCTTCAACTGTTGAATGCAGTACAGGCACAGCATTAAAGGTGGGCACAACCCGCAACGTGACGGTGACGGTAAAGGTGACAACCGGCACCTGCCGATTGGGGACTACCGTGTCAGTCATAAGAGGATTAACTACAGTATTGTTAAATGCACATTAAACATACATTTATAGCTTTTGAAGTTGACCTTACCAGTTATTTGCAGATTGCCTCCGGCTCTGTCCGTTGAACGCACTAAGGAAAGACACTAAAAATGCTACGATAAAACTGCAGCATGTACTGGTTTACAGACATAAACAAGCATCCCCGTAGATATTCTGTTGTTAACCTATTTGACGGAGTCATGGAGGCGAACCGGAACAGGAAACTGCGATAAAACTCGATGATAAACAAACTTACTCTAGATTGTTTAGAAACCGCCGTAATCGGGCATTGTAATTTGCTATTTTAATTAGTTCCTAGCGTGGCATACCAGCGGCACATGCATCACACAAAAGCTGCATGTGCTTATCGGGCTTGCGGCGAGGTAAATGAAACGGCGCGCCATTGTCTCCGATAATTAGCAGGATGTTACGGCGGGAGATATGAACAACACTATGCAGCTTAAACAAAGGATGCAAAGTAGGGCTTGCCGTTACCACCAATGTTACTAAAATATAGCACGAAAGACTGGTCGGTGACTATTATTTTTGTATTTTGGTTCTGAATGTTTGCATTGATACGAAAACAGGAAAAGACACAAGTGTACTCTGTCCAGATATGTTAGCAGTTGAATCGATGGTTTTTTTCCATGCTTCAAAGTACTGAAAGTGCGTTTTTGCGTCATAAAGCCACATAAGTGATCAAATCCTAACATTACTATGCTTCTTAGCAAGCTTAAAAGTTAAAACCAAAAACTACATCTACTGGGAACGGAAAGTGAGGCCGCATTACGTTTTAGCGGTTTCGCTAAGGAAATTACCACTACTTTCAATGTGTCTTATTTATGATGGATCATTATGAGAAGACTGTCAGTTATAAGCCGGAGAAACAGATAAAGCCGCTTCTAAAAAAGTGTGGAACGACAGCAGCGTCTCAGCGAATACTGTGACAGCGAAATTTAATGCACTCTGACTTAGCCATTTCCTTCAGTACGACGCGCAACGTCGTTGGGATAAGATAACTGTGGCACAAAAGAGGAACTGCGAGGCACTTTAATGCGGCAAAGCGTGTTCTCACGGAATGCATCCAGTACCATCCATTATAGCACAGTAGCCACTGCGGTACCATCCACTTGAAGTACTTTTTATTATATAGAGTCTATGGACTGGTCGGTTACAGTGTTCGTCTCGCTAATAAGACGGGCACTCGTCGGGCAGTGCCTGTTGTATTGCGCGACTGAAGAGTTGCGGTGATCCGTGTAGTCAACTTGATCTGTTATGGAGGCTCACCGAAGGAGATCTCCGCCGAAATACCGCTATGGTTAGTTTCCCTTAAATATGTGTTTCGGCTTTGTACCTGTGAATGTTTCTCTTCCGCGCCAACAGCACAACAAAAACGGCGCGCTATGGAATATGGAAAATACATTACCATCTACA